TACTGAATTCGTGCCCTTGCCTCTTCATCAGCCATATGACAGGTAAAGAGGATGGGTGAAGTAATGGAGGCATAATTTTCAATGCTGAGTACATAACTAAGAAAAAAAGTGTCAGAGCTGGTGCAAATTGCTTTCAACTGGTAAGTGTCAAAAAAGGCTTTGCTAAAGCAGAGAGCAATAGGGGTTATTTGGGCTATTTTTCACACCATGATAAGAGTGAGAAATACTTGCGTACAAGTGGAGAACCCAGGGATGAAGATTATGTTTCCTCCAACTGGTTTCCAGTATTTGGCAAATGAGATCCAGCTGGAGGGAAAAGGTAGTCCGTTACCCTCTGCTCATCCCCTTTCCTTCAGGGGCTCGAAGCTGTCCTTCCCCAGCTCTAACAGTCACCGGCAGGACAGCTGGCATTCAGGCTGTGCCCGGATACAGAACCAGCCTTCCTGAGGTCAATTCTGAGACACTGGAATCCAAAATGGAAAGACTGAAAATGCCCACCAGAGTCTAACAGAGTGCCCTCTGTCAGTGTGGGCAGTGCCCCAGCTAAGCTTCCCCAGCCTGGCTTACAAGCCCTTGTCCATCAGTGAAGGTCAAATGTACTTGGATTTGCTTTAGGCCTGTTATGTGAGCTCCTTCAGTATAGTTCTATTGTGAAGGAAAATTATGTAAGAAAGTTTGAATGCCTTGATTATAAATATCAGTATATGAAAATACCAACCTCTCCTAACATACTTAAAACTATCAAACTCAAACCTTACTGTAAAAATTCAAAGACATTATTTTAAAAACAGACACTAGTAACTACATAAATGAGGAACTTTTAAAATTAGGCATGAAATTAAATGAGGGTCATAGCTAATAAATTTAACTAATCTTCCAAAGTTCAATGCAAAAACATATGTTTGCTTAGTGGTTCATTTACATATTAGACTTGACTCAAACTTGGAGAAAAGGAGTGCTCTTTCTGTGCATTTAAATACTCTTAGAAATTTGTCCAGCATATTATTTCTATGTTCTAAGCAAGGACAGGCCTCAATTCCATATGCTTTTTGAAAGACTCAGGATAGCCTCAACATCACTTCTATTTATACATGAACTGATGTTCTTAATTTGGATCACACAGTTTCAAAAGATGGCTACCTGGTAGATGGGCTGCCAATCTCATCAGCAGATTCAAATGTGGTAGCGTTTATACAACTGAGCTGGAATCTGGCCTAATTGGAGTGTTGGAGCTAATTAAGAATTGAAGCTCAAGTTCTCTCATGTCTGCATAAACCTCCATGTACAGAAATCATTACCTATTGTTTAATAAGGAACTAAAAGATGCCAAGATGCAAACATTTGGTGACTATGCTATTCCCATCACTGTTCTGTGCTTTCATGAGCATATTATAATCACTATTTGAAGTGAGTGCAATAAGCTGCTTTCAAAATCGAGTTCTCTCTGGAATTTTGTCCCCCTTTCCTCAATCTATAGCACCAAATATACTGGTTTGAGAATGGGAGATCTCCAAAAACCTAAATTGAAGAACATACCGAACCACATACTGAGAACTATATACCAGAGGCCGGGGGTAAAAAACAAAAACAAAACTAACCACTTTTGAAATGTAATCCAGAACCATCTGTTCGATTTTCTTCTTTTCTACACCTTGTAGGTGTCTCAAAAGGTGGTCTTTTAGTTCAGACACCATCTGAAAACAGGATATAGATTAGATAAATCACAACCTACCCACTCACACTTGCAACTGGTTTAAATTAGATCCACTTATTAATGTTCCTTATCAGTATGAAAAATATTGGGCCTGAAGATCCCACCAGCAGAAATACATAACTCTCAATCTTCTGATGGGAATAAATCAGGGGGTGCCAATGTTTTCCGCAAGAGGAATTACTTCTGATTCACCCAAAGCCGAAGGAGGAGCTGAGAGTCAGGCTCCAGGCCCTGAGGAGAGTTCTCCAAAACAAGTGCCTGGAAGTCACTAACTTACAAGTCAAAAGCTTGAGATCTACCAAGGAATTGAAGTCTAAGTTCCTGGCTCTGGAAAATTAACAGGAACAACTCTAAACATGGAATGGCTGTGCTAATTGGATGAGGGGATGGTTTGGGGTATTTAGAAGGACAGACAGAGGCAGGAGTAAAAAGCAAGTGCATCAGGCACCTTCCTCCACACAGTGGCTACAGAATTCTGCACAGCCCAACAAGCAAAGGTAATGAAATAGTCATTCTAGTGCCTCTAAATGGGCTTGTTTCTATATCCGCTCTGTTATGATCATCCTCAGGACTCTCCAATCAGTGTGGCATTCTTAGCCCTTCCCACCTTTTTACTTTTCTGTCTCCTTTTCCTTCTAACTCCTTTTTTTCCCCCTTTTGCCTAGACCCCCTGCTCAGCTTGAGACTTTCCTGGCTAAAGAGATCTTTGCACCAATAAACAACCCGTGGATATTGTACAATTGGCATTGCATGTGCACCTATCTTCCATTTTAGCAGGTTTAATTATTTGACACTCTGAGTAAAACTTAGCCCTTGGCAATCTGGCCCAAGAGCAGTATATTATCTCAATTCAGTCTCCTGCATGTGCTAATTAATCAGGCTTTTAAAAATTAAATTTTTTAAAGATATAATGCATACTTTTTTGTGCTTTTCAATTTTTCTGTAATAGATATAAAGATGAAAATTTAAGTCACCTAGAAGAGGAATCTAACTTAATTTTCTTTTAAAAATCAGGCAACCCTGACTGAATGATTAAAATTTCTTTCCACATTGATTTTTAAATGCCTCATGTATCAAACATAATGATTTTATTTTAAACTAGGTCTACTGGCTGTCTGTTTTTGTACAAGCACCATGTTGTTTCTGTCATTGTAGATCGACAACACATTCAGATATCTGTAATGCCAGCCCCATGCCTCTTTACTTTGTCAAGTGAATTGCTCAGTCCAGGGGTCCCCAACCCCTGAGCTACAGACTAGGCCACACAGCGAGCAAAGTTTCATCTGCATTTGCAGCCACTCCCCAGTGCTAGCATCACCGCCTCAGCTCCACCTCAGATTATCAGGCATTAGATTCTCATAGGCGCACCAGTCCCTAATGCCAAAAAAGTTGGGGACTGCTGACTCAGTCAACTATCAAAAAAATTTTTTTAGCTTTTTGCTTGTAATGTTATTAAATCTAGATGCTAAGGACTTGGAAATGAGATATTATTTCTTATTATCTTTTCTGACAGGGTAATCCTAATAAAAAAAGGAAATAGATATGGAATCACCAGCTTACTGATTTGCTCTTTACTTTCCATTTTCCCGATTTTTTTTTTGTTTGTTGCATTATACAATCTTAGCATCTTCTTTTACTTTTGTTTCTTATTGTATTGGCTAGAATTTCCAGAACCATGTAAAATTTTAGTGAAAATAGCAAGGATTCTTAACTTCTTTCTGATTTTAATAGGAATCCCTCCAGTGTTCCAGTAAGATGGAAATTGGCTATTAGTATTACATTAGTCTTTGTCTTATTGAGTTAGTATACTCCAGGAGTGGATTTTTACTTTTATCAACTTTTAGCACCTATGGAGATTATCATCTTTTCCTTTTTGATCTAGTGATGTGATGAATCACATTAATATATTTCCTAATATTAAGCCTTCCTAGAAAGAGCTCCACTTGGCCACATGGTACTTTCAAATAAACCACTAGAAAGTATTTTAATCAATCTTGTGCTATCTTTATTAATAAGTAAAAGTGGTCATTGTCAGATTTTGGTTTTAAGGTTATGCTGGCTTTTTTAAGTGATGAAGAAACTTCTCATCTGTTTTCAAAAATACTTTATATAACTAGGGAATAATCTAGTCCTTAAACGTTTGAAAGAACTAACTCAATAACTTGGGGCCCTTTTTGGAGATAATTTTTGACTTTTTTTCAAATTATTTTATGGCATTGTGCTTTCGGGTCTTCTAGTTCTTAGCACAACTTTGGTCATTCTATTTGCCAAGAAAACTTTGTTTAACTAGAATTTTTAACTTATATGTATTTATACAATTTTTTCTCATATATTTTACCTTGTTGTATCTAAAGTAATAGGTTATCCCATTCCTAACCCTGCACGGTACTAAAAATATTTATTAGAATTTCCAGATGTCTCTAATCAGTCTTTTAGAGATTTGGGGTTTTATTTATCAATTCTTCTCTTCAATTAATTTATTTGACTTATATTTCTTTGATCTTCCTAGTAGTAGGACTTCTTGAGAAATAATACTTTATTCTGTCTTATTTTAAATCCTAAATACAAATGCCAGAGATGTTGCTTTTTCCTTGTTTTAAACACTCTCAATGTTCTACATTTCCTTATGATTTTTTGAAATTATATATTTATTGGGGTGATTGATTAATGTATGTCTCTCCCACTAGATTACAAATTCCAAGCATGCAAAAATCATTTATGTATTCCTTATCATTGAACACACAGGGCCCACCATGACTGGCCACAACTATGTGTTGAAAGCATGAATGAAAAACAAGATCAGGATGAAAAGTATAATCTAGTCCTTCCCCTTTTTCTTGGAGCTCATTGTTTGCCAGCACCTAAACAGCCCACAGAACACTTACCAGCCCCAGAAGCAGCCTCTGATGGTTGTCTTCTTCCTGGAAGAGAGGTGTCAATCTTGGCTCTGAAACTAAACAGAGCAGTTGTGAAGCAGAGTGATTTACAGGAAATGGGCTAGAAGAAAGAGGAATTGGCCTGGGTTTCCCTTCTCTGACTCATTGGGAAAACATAACACTTCCCTGATAAAAATTTTTCACTAGGCAAGTGTGACCTAGCCCTGCAAACTGAACTTATCACTCAGGTGACATGCAGAGAGCTCTGTGCAACAGAGAGAGGTAGAGACCCAAGCAGGCAGGCAGAAAGACAGCAAGGAACACATTTTCCAACACCAACAGGCTCGGGCTTTGATTTCTCTTTAACATGAAATTCACCACTGTCTAAGAACCTCTGCTTCACTGGAGACAGAGTGACTTGGGCCCTCTCTTAACCCCAAGAGGGCCATAAACCCAGGGACAGGGACTTGGTGGAAGGATCACTTGACTCCCTTCTTTCTGACCTGCCATAGTTCAGTGTCTTTGGGAATTATTTAGTTGAAGGGACCAGTCAATTACTGTGGCAATAATACTAATTGGCACAAGTTATCAGACTGAAAAGGTAACTAGATCAAGATGGAAAAGTGACACATAAGTTTAAAGCAAATGGCACTTCCTCCACCATGACTCTCACCGCACCAGCATAACTATAGGGACAGGAAAACAGTCTCATTGGAAGGTCTGCTCTAACATTTCTCTAACTGCACCTTTGTGCTCCACTCTTTCTATTCCAGATACCTGAAGCACAGTGCTGGTCAACAGAGCAGAACTATCCTAGTCCGTGGGCTGATGACTCCTTGTGGAAAGGCATGGATGTCTCCTGATGCTTTGGGAGAAGTCCTACCTGGATCCTCTACAACCCTCATGATTAAGATGAAATGATTCAGACCTTGAGCCCAGCAGCCCTGAATTTCACACAGAGTATTTTGTTTTGGCAGTGGCAGCATTTTTCCTAGGAAACTAGCACAAAGTGAAGCACGTGAGAGGAAGGAGCAAGTTCCCAAAAGTGCGTCAAAAGAGAATGACTAGTAACAGGATGCAAGCAGGCCTGAGGGACAGGAGCAGGGGGAGCTCTAATGGGGTGGGAGGGTGGGCACAACTGAAACAGAAACCAGACCAGCAACACTTCCCATATTGCAAAAACCCTGAATCACACACATTCACACCCCCATGCACTGGGCAGGACTCCTGCCTAGCGTTACTGGCAGAACCTCTGGCTTAAGACATGGATGACCACGTACATACAGGGACAGAGGCTGGTTTCCACAGGGCTGTTCAGTGAGCCCGGGCTCTGTCAGCCCGGGCTGGATGACAAGTTCACCATAACTGTTCATGTGCAAAAACCCTGAATCACACACATTCACACCCCCATGCACTGGGCAGGACTCCTGCCTAGCGTTACTGGCAGAACCTCTGGCTTAAGACATGGATGACCACGTACATACAGGGACAGAGGCTGGTTTCCACAGGGCTGTTCAGTGAGCCCGGGCTCTGTCAGCCCGGGCTGGATGACAAGTTCACCATAACTGTTCATGTGGGTTGAATGCACAGCTGTGCGATGTGCAGCAACACACTATATAAAATAATTTCCATTAGGACACCCAACATATACCTTAACATCCAGGTCCATAAAACACAAGTGGGATATAAAAACAGCTTTTTAAGTGGAGGCTGACCTTTATGAGCCATGAAAGAGTTCCACAGACAAAACCACAAAAGGGCCTATACCTGTCTATGCTTAGCATTCTCTCCCCACAGTTTCAACCAGCTAAGTCCTCCTTGTTTGTCAAGACTTTCCTCTAACCACTCCTGACCTAGCTCCTTGCCCTTGTACCCTGTGGTTATATAACACCTGTCACCTGGTTTAGAAATTATGTGTTAGCATTTCTTCCTCATACACTAATGATAAAGCAGCCACCTCAGATAACCCACACACAGCACATGCTGTACTGGGCACTATAAACATTACCCCGTTTATTCTCATTTTCTTCTTACCCTTGCAATGAGGAGGACCACGCAAAATGGATAAATGGCTTGCCTTAGAGTACTCGGCTAGGATGTGGCTAAGCTAGACTTTAAGTCCAGTTCTGTCTGGCTCCAAGCCCGCGCTCTTCCTCCACAACCACAGTGCTCACCTGAAGGATCGATCGTCTTTGCATCTTTATGACCTAGTCCAGTGAGTGCCCAAGTGTCAACCAAAATGAAAGGAGCACATAAGCCAAAAGCCCTTGTATGATCAGACAGCTGGAAAGAAAGCATTCCTAAGCAGAGAGAATTGCCAAAGTGCATCCTGCAGGTACAGCCAGAGGGCATGTCAATTAGATCAACTCTATTAGGAAAAATAATGAAAACTCAGGGACTCCTCCAGCAAAAGCACATTCGCAGCTGTCCCTGAAGGTCTTGGTGCCAAGACAGACATGAAAGGAGCTGGGCAGCTACTCTTACAGGAAGATATTAAAGGGTGCTGCCTTCATTACACTGTTGGAAGCGATTTTCTTGCCAACCCACAGTGGAAGACAGTGTTACAAATAAAACGCTAACTGAAATCAAAGGGTTTTATTACAGGTCTTTTCTTACCCAAATTCCTTGCTTCTAGGTTAGAAATCACCCTAAAAAGAAATTAGGCAATGTTATTCACACAAGAAGCATTATTTTTATAAAGGGAAGGGAAGGGAAGGGAAGGGAAGGGAAGGGAAGGGAAGGGAAGGGGGCCACAACACCATACAAAGATATCCTCCTTTAAAAACCCATAAAACCACGGCAGAAACTATTCTCAGGATGCTGAAAACCTCAAAAACTTTAATCAACTTGGAGAAAGCCATGTTAGGCAATTATAAAACTCAAAGCCCTTTAGTGCAAACGATGACAATAATTTAGAACAATTGCAGCTCTCAGTGATTGGAAATCATGGGAACAGAAAATGGAACAGAGATTGGAATGGGTATACGCTTGTAGCACTCAAGTGACTCACTATCCAGAAAATTTGCTTTCAAAATAAGAGCTCGCTAACACTTTTTAAAATCAGCCTATGTCTGTACCCCACTAAGTGCTCAATTAATAAGAACTTTCTTTACCACTTTTCTCTTATAAATTATCCATCCCCAGGATGCAAGTTTTTAAGGTTTAACATAAACTTTTTCCGCTAAAAACCCCAGCATCAAACTCCAGAAAAGGACCCAGGCAGCTGCATTCATTAAGATGACAGCATCATTTTGCTGAGGACACACAAAGCAAGTAAGCTACTTCCACGAAAGGTAGCCAACAAAATAATTGCAAAAGATAACCATCTTATAGATATAATAAGCCCTAATTTTACTTACTTTATTGCATTATCAAGAATATTCCTCACATACACGTTAGACCTTCTTTTTCCTGTTTTCTAGAAATGAGAACATGTCAAAGGGGTAATAGACAAAGCTGTAGGTGATATTTTCACATCAAGTATAAAATGTAATACAATCAAGAGTTTCAGGAAAAAGAAACACACTTTCTAGGTAAACACCTAGATTCTTAGAAAATTGGTTTTAAAATTTTTTATTCTGAAACTATTATAGATTTATGAGAAATTGCAAGTCAATCATATGTTATAAACAACAACACTACAACTATATACGACAATGCTACAGAGATATCTCATCTATTCTACACAGTCTCCCCCAGTGTCTATATCTTATATAAACAACTATACATAGTACACTATCAAAATCAGGAAATTGACACTGGTACAATAAGTATATATTTCTATGTCATTTTATCACATACATAGATTCGTGTACCACCACGTCAAGGTGTAGAACTATTCTATCACCCCAAAGAAGCATCAGAGAAGCTCCTCTGCCTGCCTATTGGGAGATCAGTAGCAACAATGTAAAAGTGCCTGGCAACGGAGGAAAGTGCTGCAAATGTAAGCCAGTCTACAACTTACTGGTATCACCTGGATTTAATACACTATGCTTTTGCTTCTTGCTTTGTTCTCATGAACCCACTCATACCTCTTCTGAGATCAAGCTGT